AAGGAAGGAAGGAAGGAAGGAAGGAAGGAAGGAAGGAAGGAAGGAAGATCAGAATAAGAAGCAGGGAAGGAAGGAAGGAAGGAAGGAAGGGAGATCAGAATAAGAAGAAGGGAAGGAAGGAAGGAAGGAAGGAAGGAAGGGAGGGAGGGAGGGAGGGAAAAACAATAGCAATAGCACTTGGATTTATATACCCTTTCACAGTTTTACAGCCCTCTCTAAGTGCTTTACAGAGTCAGCCTATCACGCCCACCCCAACAATCTGGGTCCTCATTTTACCGACCTTGGAAGGATGGAAGGCTGAGTCAACCTTGAGCGAGTGGGACTTGAACTGCTGGCAGTCAGCAGAAGTAGCCTGCAGTATTGCATTCCTACCACTGGGCCACTGCAACTCTTAATCCCTGTGCAATGCCCTTGGAGAGGTAATGTATAGGTAATCCTCAACTTAAAACTGCTTGTTTAGTGACTGTTCAAAGTTACAGTGGCATTACAAACGATAATTTAAAACTGGTCCTCGCACTTACACCCGTAGCGGCATCCCCAAACACGTTACCCGTGTTCGGATGCTTGGCAGCCAGCAATGGATTTACCACAGGTACAACCTGCCAGGGTCATGCGTGAGGAGCCACCTCCTCCCCCCCCAATGAACGGTCCCTTCACCGTGGCTCCTTACATTTGACAGTGATCAGCTCCTCGAAAGACTTGATGCCTTGACGTGCCTTTTCTCGAGCGTCGTCGTTGGCAGGAGGGCCCTGGGGACAAAACCCGACACGTTGACTGCAGTTCCCATTTCAATCCCTGCCATAAGAAAAACTCCTGTCCCTGGGGACTTCTATAAACGAAGGGAAGATTCTGCTCAAGATTTCAGATCGCAGGAGAGGGGGGGTGGAGAGAGAGGGAGGGAGGGTGAGGGTGGGAGGGAGAGGGAGGGAGGAGGAGGGAGAGAGAGGGAGAGAAGGAGAGGGAAAGGGAGAGACGGAGGGAGGGGGAGCGAGAGAGAGGGAGGGAGAGAGGGTGAGGGTGGGAGAGAGGGAGGGAGAGGGGGAGGGAGAGAAGGAGAGAGAGAGAGAGGGAGAGGGAAAGGGAGAGAGTGTGAGGGAGGGGGAGAGGGGGAGAGGAGGAGAGAGAGGGAGAGAGGGGGAGGGAGAGAGGGAGGGAGAGAAGGAGAGAGAGGGAAAGGGAGGGAGAGGAAGGGAGAGAGGGGGGGTGGGAGAGAGGGAGGGGGAGGGGGAGAGAGGGAGAGAAAATGACTTGCATGGCACCGATCAGAGTAATCCTGTTAGGAGGGACACCTGATCTGGCTGAATTTTTTCTCCTTCCCTTGACAACCAGTGGGGACTACTACTACGCCCTTGGAGACAAGCAGAAAAGAACAGCGACAAAGCTGACGTCCATAGGAAAGGAGAAGCCAACCAGGGGAGTTAGAAATTGCCACGGTCGATACCGTGGGCAGCTCCACGGACATGCAGGTCTGCTGCTTGCGCCGATGGAGCCCACACACTCACCCGCTGCTTGTGCAAGTGAGGGCACCCGCTCACCCACCACTTCCACGGCCCAGTTCCCAAAGGCTCAAGGTCTGGTAGTGGACCGGGACCCTGAGGTTGGGGACCTGCCAGATCTGGTTACCTCCTAAGGGACTACCTGTCTCCCATAGGATCTGCCTAGCTGGCTGAGGAATTCTGGGAGTGGAAGTCCACAAGTCTGAAAGTTGCCAAGGTTGGAGACCTCCTGGTCTAGAGTGAATTTCCCCTCCTGAGACCCTGAGAGCCCCCACTCAACTGCGGTCCAGAAGGGCCTTGGCCAAGGGAGAGGGACACCCCTTATCACGCTTGCCATCTTTTCTTTTTTATGACCCGAATGTACATTTGATTATTAGGAGCCACCCAGGGATGTTCAGAGCCAGGCAGCATCGGAGTCGAATACGTTACCCTTGCAATCATACTTACAAACCCCGACGTTTTGTCCTTGAAATACGGCTTCATAAAATGGCCCAAGAACATATTTGCTGGCAAGGATTTCCCGTCGCTCGATTTTATCCCTTTCGTTCCGGCGAGCTCCCAGGTGAGTTTTTCCTGCAGGACAATCACAAACCGAAGGCGCCCATGAGGGCCAGAATTCTGGGCCTGCGTGAGCCCCGGTCCAACTGCACCCCAGAACTGAGTTGAAAGCATCCCACCATCCAAGGGGGGGCTGGCTGTGGGTCCACCCTTGCTAGCGTTAGGGCTGGTTTGGTGAACTGCCAGATCCCACCCCAGGCTGGTCCCGCCCACCCTACCCTGCCTCTCCCCTCCCACCTCTGCCCTCTCCCCTCCCAAGAGTCTCTACATTTCTGACCTCCAGAGCCCGGGGAGGGGACTGTTTTCGCCCTCCCACAGGCTGGGGAAAATGACCCCCCCACACACACACACACACATTATGATGGAGGCCGACTAGGCCAGGCCCACCCAGCCACCAAGCAGAGAAATTTTTGAAATCACCATCCTGCCATTATTCAGACAGCTCGGCTGAGTGATCCTCCTTGCAAAATTCTTCTTGCTTTTGGCAGAGCTGGGAAAAAGCGCCGGACTTGCAAGCCAAATGTAAGGTCTCTACCCCTTCCCTCACCGGGACATTCTGAGCTCTTGCAGCCAGTCCACATTAATGGTAGTGTAGTAGCTACTGAGATCCTATGGGTGGTGCTAGATGCTAGCAGCAAACTGCAGTGTTTAAAAACCTTATATAGGGCCTCCTGGCTACTTGCAAGATCTCACCTTGGTGAAGGTGGAAAGCCCCGGACTTTCCAGGTATTTAGGTGATCTCATTGACTAACATCACCGCTAGTCTTAAGGATTGGTTGGGAGGTTGTACCAATGTGGTTGTGACAGGTTTCACCCATGTGGGATCTATTCTCCAATCCAAATACCGTATCTATGCTACTCTTCCTTGCTTGTAAAAATGGTATAAAAGAATAAACGCTGCCCAAGCAGTCAGACCTCTTGGCACCCTGCACAATGACTGATCTTTGAAATCCATCATCGTAGGTTGCAGTGCCTATGCTCAGAGGACAGTAGTGGGATTCCAAAATTTTTTTACTACCAGTTCTGTGGGCGTGGCAGGGGAAGGATACTGTAAAATCTCCAGACAGAGGTGGGATTTATGCCGGTTCTCCAAACTACTCAAAATTTCTGCTAACGGTTCTCCAGAAATGATCAGAACCTGCTGAATACCCACCTCTGTTATAGGGCCACAATTTGCGTTTTTGCTGGAAACCAGAGTTTAGAAGAATTTTTTTATTGGCCAAGCGTGATTAGACACACAAGGAATTTGTCTCCAGTGCATAAGCTCTCAGGGTACATACAACAGTAGTTATAGATCATTATCATAGTCATTGTAAAAAATACATGTGTCCTAAAACATTAAATACAACGCTTAGTGATAGTCATGGATAATAAGCAGTCAGCATAAATCATACTAGGATACTAAATAAATGATATAGATGGTAAGATATAAGCAACAAAGTTTTAGTCATAAAAAGATAAGGAGATGAGAATAAGGATGGTAATACAGCCTTTCTAGAGAGTTTGAAAGTGTTGTGGGAATCTACTTCCAGTTTCCAGCAAAAACTGCCCAATAGTATACAATGGGTTCACTTAACCACCAGTGAAAAAAAACACGATCATAAAATCAGGCATAGTTACGTGATGACCCACTTTAGGAACAAGATTGTGGGCTCAATTGCGGTCATAAGTCGAGGACTGACCGAAACACAAGGCAAGGCCAGTTGCTGACTTGTTGAATAAACATACTGGCTTTTGTTTCACCAAATACACATCGAGATAAGGGGAGGGGTTCTAAACTCCCTTATGTATCCCTGCATGACTGAGGGACCTCAGACGCTGCTTTTAATCCCTACGTGAATTGTCTCATCTCAGTAAAGGATTTTCCTTTTGATACGTTTGGTTTTCAGAAGTTCATTCTTGTGGATTGAATGGGAAACGTTCTGTAGCCTGACACGCCCCTTTTGTTTCAGCTGCTCTCACCTTCTAGCAGCTCTGCGCAGACACGCACTGGGAACAAGCTCCCCTTGCTCCTCTGCCTCGCTAATGCCGGACTCCGGAGGCTCCGGAGTCAGCACCCCACTCCCAGATGGTCCTGGCCCCACCTCTGCATCAGATGCAGGAATCTCATCCGAGTCCTCTCCAGACTCCAGGACTGGTCCCCATTCTTCCGCACTGTCCGATTCCGCTGCCGTCTGCTCAGGTTGCCGGCGAACCACAACAGTCACACCACACCTTGACTAGAACTATTAGATACTCTGATCCCCATTCACTGTGACAATTCTTCTGGGAAAGCTGAGAGAGACTCAAAGGAGATGAGGCTTTCCTGCTCTCTTCCCAAGATCCCTGCAGCTCAACTCACCTGCTGCTTTTTATTTTGGGCAAGGAGGCTGTTGATCTCCTCAATCTTCTCCTGAATCACTTCCTGATAAACCAGGTTCATCTGGAGGCAGGTTTCTGGGGTTTGGGGTAGGTTGACTTCCTCTTCCTCACCGTCCTGTTTCTCCCCATCTTGGTCCACCTCCTGAAACAGAAGAAGGGATTAAAGGAGTTAAGAGATGTGGAGACACAAAAAGAATAAATGTTAAAGCAGCGATCTGTTAAATAGACAAGCTAAATATTATTATAGAATTGTTATTGTGATGAATACTATTGCAAATCTTGATCACGATTGCCTAAAAACAATTGTACCCAGACAAGAGAGTTTGACTGAAATGGAATTTTTATATGTTATATGAATAAAATAAATAAAACATAAAAAGAGAAGAGATTAAAGCTAGAAAATTGCTGTTCCTGAAAATAAGAAACTCCTCTAAATAACAAAAAGTTTAGTTCAAGGGCTGCAGGATGCCAAAAAATTATGTTACTACAGCTTCATTTCTTTTTTCCATCTGTTATTATTTTAATGCTAGGTATTATTTAACCAGGGCGTTTAACTATGCGTTTTGTTACTTAGCTGTGTTGTAAGTATAATTTAAGAGCCAGTTGCATAGTTTTAAAGTCCTGTTATGAATGGAAAGCATGTAAATTGGCTGTATGCAACATTGGCTGTACATTTAAAATCTTGAATTTGCGAAGATGGGTCGCAAAAGGCATCTAAATCAACAAGAAACTCTGCTTTCTCCCAATTTCTAGCCATCACATCGCTTTCTTCCGAAATTAACAGATTAACAGAGTTGGAAGGGACCTTGAAGGTCATGTAGTCCAACCCCTGCCCAAGCAGCAGACCCCACACCATTTATGACAGAGGGCAGTCCAATCTCTTCTTGAAAGCTTCCAGTGATGAAGCTCCCACAACTTCTGAAGGCAACTTGATTGCTTTCACCGTCAGAAAATTTCTCCTTATTTCCAGGTTGAATCTCTCCTTGTTCAGTTTCCATCCATTATTCCTTGTCTGGCCTTGGAAAATAGCTTGATCCCCTCCTCTCTGAAGCAGCACTCCTATTTTTTACCTAACAATCCTGCAAAGTAGGCCAGTTCGCCCCGCCTTGTCCAATTAGGCCAGGGGTGCGTGTTGGCCTTGAACATAAGAGGCTGCAGACAATTCAGTGCCCTCCCCGTCACGGCACGCAAAGAGACCCAAAGTTTGCCGCAGGAGATTACGCGGATTGCTTTAAAGTTATTCCTGTATTTCTATAAAGATGAACGTTAGAAAGGAAAACATGCCCAGAAGTGCAACGATACTCAAAAGCCCTCCCGACTTCCAAGGCAGAATTCCGACTTGGGTACTTGCCATGTCAAGTTGAGTATCAGATTCATCCTCTTCCAGGTCATCTGAGGAGAGAAGGTATAAATGTGAGAGAAAGAAACATTTTAATTATTTACTAAATTTATGTGCAGTCCATCTGGCAGTTTGAGACAACTTTGGGCAACTTGCAATGTAAAGACCTCAAAAGATAACTTGGAAACCACAAACTACTTATGACTATGTTGCTGAGACAGACATGGTGACCAGGAAGCTCATTTCACACATAGTGTACAAGTGATCCTTATAACAATAGTCTAGTTTTTGTAATAATTAACAGTGCTGTGAGTTTCTGCTAATTTCCACCAGGACCCACCACATTTTTCTCTCTTGTGGTGTTTTACAATATCATTTAACCACCGTGGACATCTTGTAAAAGGAGAAGGTGAATCTTTAGAACAACAATGCTGTCCACAGTACTCAAGGCCCAGCTTCTGGTTGTAGTTATTTCTTGGCTCTCTTCCCCACCAAAGCGGGGTCCAGCCACAGGAGACTTGTGATGCAGAAAGATCTGAAAAAGGCAAGATGAAGATCTTTTCCACCAGACCGCACCTTCCTCTTCCGAGCCAGATTCCAAGCTAGAGTCTAGCTCTCCAATTCCATCTGACGGAATGACTGGGCCCAAACTCCTCTCCAGTTCTTCAATCTCCTGCCTGATTTTCTCTCGTTCCGCCTCAAGTTCCATTCCTGAGACTCCTATAAACAAGAAAGAAAAGTCAAATAATAGAATAGGAATAAATAGAATAAAATAGGAATAGGGAATAGAACACAGAGTACAGAACAAACAGAATGAGAATAGAACAGAACAAAACAGAATTAGAACAGAACAGAATATAGGCTAGAACAGAATGCAGAATGGAACGGAATGGAACGGGACAGAACAAAAGAGAACTTTGTCACTTTAAATGTACATTAATCAGCATATATTAAAATGAAATGTTGCACTCCACTCTCAAAGGATAACTATTATACACATACCCACATATACACAATATATGACACCGAGATACATCACAGTCTAGTACGTAGGTATACATATACATTGGTGAAAAAAAGAATCTTGCAAATTTACAAGAGGGATGGCATAAGAAACAAAGTTGTTATAGAATCTAGTAGTCCTGCTACAAATACCTCGAAACCTCCTCCCAGAGGAGCGGAAGAAACAAACTATACAGTTGGTGTGTGGGGTGTCTGACAAGGCTTCCAGCTCTAAGTCTGTAGCGCTTATAAGCAGCATCCTCAATAACAGGAAGCGAGCTTCCTATGATCTCCTTGGCTGTCCTCACCACTCTCTGTAAGGACTTTCTATCTGAGGCATTGTAGCCACGAATCAGACAGGGATGCATTTTGTTAAAATGATCTCAATTATGCCTCTGTAAAAAGCGGCCAAGACAGAAGGAAAAAGATGTGCTGTCATCCTTTGCAGGAAATGCAGATGCTGGTTTGCACACAAGATAACGTCTGAAGACCCCAAGTCAGATTATTAAAAGGGGCCCACACTCATTTCTTTTATGCATTTTATTCATTCAATGTGTCCTTGTCCAAAGGATTCTGGGCGGCTCCTCAGCGTGCTGTATTTTTACGGCCGATTTTACACCCATTTTATTGCCATTCGCAGGTGCTTCTGACACGAATAAGCGCCACACGCAAAAACAAAGCGCCCTCCAAACGTGTGGATGGGGAAGGGACCGTCGGGAAGGGCCCGTGAGGAGAAAGCCAGGAGGATCAGGGAAGAGGCTTCTCCTTTTCAAGCGTCGCACCTGCAAAAGCCACCCGCTCCTTCCGTCCCCGGGTCTGCTGCGTTCACACAACACATTCGCCTCGCGTGTGTGAACCCATCCCAGCCCAGCCGGCTGAGTAAAGCACAGCTAATCCAGCCGTGGCTTCTCGCGGGCCTACCTGCCGGACGCCGCTCCCTCAGGCCGAAAGAGGCTGCGGCTGCCCCAACCTGATCGCCGACGCGGAGCCCACCCGCTCAAAGCCGCCACGGCTGGAGAGAGCGCTTAGCAACGCTCCGCCGGAAGCGGGAGTTGGTGGGGGGAAACATGCCGGGTGACGGACCAGGAAGTTACGTCACTCACGAGGGGTTCGTTAATGAAGCCGGAATTACAACTTTTTCCCCGTCTCAGGAAAGAGAAAGCTCCACCTATTTGGAGGGGGGGCAACGATCGCCTAGGCTCCGCCCTCCTGCCCAAGCGTCGGCCAATGGGCTCTTTGCTTTCTTTTCCGGGCTTTGCCAATCTGCGGCCGCGGATCATCCAATAGCGGCGCACGTCGAGAGAGAGAGAGAGAGAGAGAGAGAGAGAGAGACGTTGTAGTATGAGCACGTGATGTCTTGGGAGCAGCCAATCAGGAGGAAAAGAAAGGGAAAACGTGGGGCGGTAGCCAATGAACGGAGAGGACGCAATGCGCACGGCGCGGTTTACACTAGGAGCCCCTCAGTCCGCCCAGTCTCCCGCGGCGGACGGTTGGATTTTTTTGTGTGCGTGCCGTGACGGGGAAGCCACCGAAAGCCACTGTCGCGTGCAGGCTCTACGTTCAAGGCCAACCCTCCCCCATGGCCTCATTGGACGATGCGGAGAGAACCGGCCTACCTCGCAGGGTTGTTAGGGAGAAAATAGGAGCGCTGCTTCAGAGAGGAGGGGATCAAGCTATTTTCCAAGGCACCCGAAGGCCAGACAAGGAATAATGGATGGAAACTGATCAAGGAGAGATTCAATCTGGAAATAAGGAGACATTTCCTGACAGTGAGAACAGCCAGTGGAACAGTTTCTCTCCAGAAGTTGTGGGAGCTTCATCCCTGGTGGCTTTCGAGAAGAGACTGGACTGCCCTCTGTCAGAAATGGTGCAGGGTCTCCTGCTTGGGCGGCAGGGAGCAGGGGTGGGGTTGGACTAGATGCCCTACAAGGTCTCTTCCAACTCTGATAATCTGAATAAAGACAAACGAGTGTCTTAGGCTTTCAGAGAGCTGATTACAATCACCTAAGACAGAGTTTGGGGAGGATTCCATGGATGGAACTCCTAAAAGGGAAAACAACTCCAAGAGGCTTGGGAAACTCTGACAAATGAGATGGAAGCTGTTATCACTTTCCTAATCATCCTGCCTGTTCAATCAACCCCCTATCTAACATGGAGAGATTCAACCTAGAAATAAGGAGAAACTTTCTGATAATGAGAACAACAACTCATATCCTTTAGCACTACTAAACCACTACTATGAACTGGAAAAGAGGTGCATTTTATATATTTATGTATTATATTTATGTGGCTGTCCATCTTACAAAAATGTGACTGAGCAGTATATAACAGAAAACTAAATATATGAAAGCAGTCCTCATAAAAAAACAATATAAAAATGTATGTGCACTCCCAACACACAGGCAGCAGTTGGAATGTTCAGTCCAAAAAACAGAGGTCACGGTGGTGCTTAATCCTTCCAGAACCCCAATCCCTAAAGAGGCATCTGCTTATGGACCTGGTTTTTACCATGATTAGAAAAAAACAAAATATACTAGCTGGATACCTGTACTTAGCAATGAAACTTTGTGATTAAGCTAAGCAGGAGCTTGGGCTTTCCTTTCCCTTCCTTTCCTCCTGTCCCCCCTTTTCCTTTTCTTCTTCCTTTCCTTATTGTTCCTTTCCTTCCTTCTTTCCTCCGCTCCCCTTCCAGTCCTTTCCCGTTCCATTCCTGCATCCTTTTAGAGAGTGGTGCAAATGGCTGTGAAGTTACTGAGGTAACAGAATGTGAGGCAACTGGCAGTTGGAACAGATTTCTTTTCAGGTGGGGAGGGGGAGTAGAACTCTTTAGCATCAGAGGGTGTTAATAATAGTATACCAAATACTAATGCTCTGATGGCCATTTCGAAAAATTCTTTCTTAGTGAGCCCCTAGAAGCCAAGAGGAACATATTTCAAATTTGTAGGCAAATTTCAAGTTTGTAGGCTTTACAGTTCTGGAGATTTTGTAATGATGCATGAGGGGTATTTTGCTTTTATATAATATATATATATATAAGAAGAAGAGGATAAGCCAAACCAAACTCCATACTTGCAGTTTCATTTTAATTTAAAAAATAATACTATTACAAAACCTGGAGAAATTAAAAAGCTTCAAAACTGTATATTCAGAAGGTTAAATCTTGGATACTTCACTGCAAAAGAAATATAAGGTTTTATTGTACCTGTACAACAGCTGGTTTTCAAAAAATAATTTCTATCAAGATAGTTTTAATAGTATCTGTGCTGGAGGACAACTCTGACTGGCAGCCATGTTAAATAAGAAATATATTATTAAAGCAATATTATTAAAGCAATCTCTAATTGAGCAGCCAACCAGTGAAGTGCAAAAATATACTTGGATATCTTTGCACCTTATGAAATACTTTCCATTGATCAATCCAGATGTAATAACCAAGAGCTGCAAACCTTCTTAACAGTCTCAGAAGTGAAAGATCACAGCACAAAACCATTAAAAAAATCCAATCTTCGTTTTCTCCAAGAACGAGAGGTAATAGATTCTCAGGGGGTTCCTTGTGATGGCATCTCAGATATTTTGTCTAGAGACTTCAGAAGGTCAGCCACAAGCTGCAGATCTTCTGCACCAGAAATCAGCTGCCTAGGAGAAACACAAGTGCAATGGTGACACCTACGTTGCTGCCTGCAGAGATTCAGCCAAACCCAACTTGTTCAAGCCTATATTCTCTTACAGCCTGCTGTCTCTGGGATCTACTGTATTCCCTAGCACCTGCAATTCTGGAGTGGAAAACCCAAATAAAACTATAAATAGGCTAAATTAATGTAAAACTCCATGTTTCCGCCCCCTGCCCCCAAACCCTAAGGAAACAAGAAATCCCATCTCTTAAACCTATCCTCTTTGAGGTCACAACTATACCCTTCCCCCAAAATGTGAGCCATTACAACAGGGGTGTCAGACTGGCAGCCCGTGGACCGGATGCATCATACAGACCACGCCCACCCCCAGCTGCGCAAAGGCAAAAAATGTTGCAATGTCACATGACACAATCGAGTTTGACCCCTGCGCTACAAGGGTTTTCTGCTCCAGTTTGTTTTCCAGCCATTTTGGATTCTTCCAAGATTACAGTTTGGGAATTCAAGTGTTTGGTTCAGAATAAAGGTTACCAGTCTGTACGCCCCTATATAAATAAATGCACCTGGATGATACTTTAGCAGCTGGGTGGCTGAAGCCAAAATCAATTCAAACTGGAAAACAATGGTTTGTAAAGCCCCCATAAACTTTTGTTATAATCAATGTACTTCAGAATTATGCTGGGTAGCTACCACATATATTTAGCAAGTTAGAAGGGTTTTGAAAACACTAAAAATAAAAGCAGTAGGAAGCAACATACCAACACCTGGGAAAGGCCCGTCCGTCATACAATTTGTTTAAACTCCAGGACCATTTAAAAAAAAAACCATTGGAAGAGAAAGGTTTATTATTTATTTCTATCCCACCTTTATTATTTTTATAAACAACTCAAGGTGGGGAACATATCTCTTCCTTACTCCTCACATCAACAAACCCTATGAAGTGAGTAAGGATGAGAAAGGGACCGGCCCAAGCTCAGCCAACTGGCTTTTATAGCTAAAGTGGGATATACTGTAAACCCGCAAACTGGTTAGTTGTATATGCACCGCTGAGTTAAACAAACACTGGCTGGTTGAACAAAATTTTGCGTCTGGTGTGAATTCAGTGTTTTCATCTGCTTCATCTACTCAAGACTTACTTTATTGATGACTTAGATCTTGTCATCACAGCCAGGAGATTCTGCAAGGCAACATCTGCGTTTTGCTTGACTGCAGTCAGTTTTTGTAGATGGCCAGACTTTAAGGCTTTGTTCTCGGATTTGTAGCTTTCCATCTGAACCTTCATGTTAAGCAGAGAAGCGCTTATTAGTAGCTGGCTTCCCAAACGTTTACTTTTATCAGCCCCTGTGGTTTTCAAAGTGTGACACGAGCTAAGGGTGTTTCTGGCACAACATTCAAGACCTCCAAGATTTACTCCCATTGCATAGGATCAGCTCACTTCACTATATTTTTATTTTAGCAAACCATTTAAAAAAAGCATTTACAGGAAAAAAAAAAGTTGACTTGCAGAGCCTTCTACCTCAGTGGTCGCCGACCAGTGGGCCAGGGACCACTGGTGGCCTGCGAGAAAATCTTGGTGGTCCGCAGAGAAATGAAAGCACTCCCCAAAGCAATTAATCCAGGCTGCACGGGAACACAAGGCTGTGCCACCCACATGGTCCATGGGAACACAAGACTTGCATCACTTGCGCTGCACACAACACGAGGTAGTGAGGGGAGGGGAGGGGGGGAAAGAGCAGAGGGGGAGAACTTACCTCGCACGCCCCACACTCCTCGTCCTGGACACCAGGCTGCCTCTTTCCACTACTTCTGCTTTTGGCTGCACGCAAGGAAAGCATCCAAAGTCTTTCTTTCTCTGCCCCAAACTCCACCAGAAACGAATCTTTGGGACCCTGCAAGGCCTCCTGCTCCAAGAGGCTGCGCCGGTGCAACAAGTCTCACAAAGACTCGTTTCTGGCGGAGTTTCGGGGAGAGAAAGAAAGACGTCGGCGGCTTCTGCCTTCTTTGCATGAAGTCAAAAGTATCTCTCTTCCCCCAGAGCTGGAGACGGTATCTTGCGATCCCAAATAAGGAATGATCGATCGGTAGGAAAACGGGGTGGGGAATTTTCCTGCTTTGGGGGCGATTTTCCCGGGATCTCTGGTGTGCGGGATTTAAAATTTTTGGTGGTCCCTGAGGTCCAAAAGTTGGCGACCTCTGTCCTACCTCACTGATTTTTCAAATAAGAACTATTTGTCCTTACAAGCCCTGTAGAAAGGCAGGTTTTCCCATCAGCACGGAGTCAAAACAGCTTAGAACTCAGACCCACAGCCAACTATAATCGCAATTCCAGAAGCTGGCGCAGCTGCTGACTTTAGATCTCTAGCTGGCTTGGGAAGAAACAGGGCAGAAGGCAGCAGTTAAGAGGCTGTCTGTCCAGCTATGCACCTGAACCTCAAAAGTGTGCACTATTCAAGTGAAGACAATGTGCTTCAGAGACCACACACTAATGCGCAATTTACAAAATCTACATTTACCAGCTCCGATGCAGGTGGTTCTCAACAACCAGTTTCTTCAAAGTTTTGACGGCCACAGGGGAAAAAAAACAACAACCTGGCCATTGTAACGGGTCTGCCCACCCACCCCCACCCTGTCACTCTAAGTCAGGTGCCTTGCAACCCATCGACTTTACAACCAGTTCCAGTCAACTCCAATTTGTGATGGTTTTTTGCCACTTTTCCAGCACAAAATGCCATTTGAACAAAGAGACTGACTGAAGGACCACGGTGTTCAATGAAAGGCAGAGTTCACTTAACAACTTCCACAACAACCACAACGAAAGTTAGAAAAACACTTCCAGTCACGTAGGAGGCTTGACTTACGACCGGATTCCAGTTCCAAATTCAGTTGTAAGTCAAGGGCCATCTCTATTTTAATTCCCCAAGCTCCTTCGGAATTTTTCTATCTGCCCCTTTGGTGTGAGGCCTCGCTCTGTACCTGAAGGTGCGTGTTTTCCTGCTTCAACTTAATGACACTGTTTTCGGCTTTCACGGCCCGTTTCTGGAACAGAAAGCAGAGGAAGATATATTTGGGGAGCTGAGGGGAAACACAATCCACAGTTCTTAATACCAGGAGAGAAGGACCACCACACAGGTAAATAGAGGCACACAAAGATCATCCCACCACCTATTCCAGAGGTCTCCAAACTTGGCAACTTTAAGGCGTGTGGACTTCAACTCCCAGAATTCTCCAGCCAGCTGGCTGGAGAATTCTGAGAGCTGAAGTCCACACGTCTTAAAGTTGCCAAGTTTGGAGACCCCTGGCCTATTCTGTCAGGAGGATGAGAGAGAAGCACTCATGCCCCTCAGAGCCCCAGAACGAGACGGGCTCAGCTACCACCTTACCCCGGTGCAGAGTCGTTCAGGGGAGAGGGCTGGTTCCCACAGCGCCCCCAGACCCACCGTCATTAACTGCAGATTCTCTTCCACTTGCTGCACCATGGCCTCCAACTCGCGAGCCTCCTTCTCCTCTTTCCGTTTGCTCTTCTCTAAGGTCTTTTCCAGGTGCCTTATTCTGCTTGAGAGAAGGAATGAGTCCACACCTTGGGCCCCACCCCCTCAGCTTTAAGTCTCGCATTCTGCCCAAGATAAGCCAGGATGACTTTTAAAGCAGGCTTGCTAACACCATATGTTAAGTAAACCTTTTTGCTACCTTGTTGGAATTTGGAAGTTGATGTCCCCCGAACGAGAGAAGGATAATTTATAGCAAGGGTCTTCAAACTTGGCAAGTGTAAGACTTGTGGACTTCAACTCAAGATAATTCCTGAGCTAACATGACTGGAGGAGGAATTCTGGGAGTTGAAGTCCACCAGACTTAAAGCTGCCAAGTTTGAAGACCCCTGGTTTATATAAACAAATTTTAGCATTACAGCATTGGATTGGGCCATTCAGTCCTACCCGCCTGTTCAGCAAAGAATCCAAAAGGCGGCGCCCACAATCATTATGCTTCCCTGTTAGTCTTATAAAGAAGAATTAATGATTTGACATTATGGCTTATCTCTGCAGCAGGGCATCCAATGAGGGAGAGCCCAACACCTCCTTGCTTGAACTGTGGAAACGTTTCAGCCGCAAGGAAGTATTTTTCTAACGTTCGACAAGCCTGCTTTGTAACCTACACTCTGGAAGGACCAGGTCACCTTCGTTTTGACAAACCTTCATATTTTTAGAGTGCTATCAGTCCCCATGTTTTATTTCTCCGGATTAAATGTACTTTCTCTCTTGATTCAGGGGGTTCAAGTCCCAGAACTAATCAATTAAAGATTTGTTTTTCTTTGTACGCACCTTTCCGCCTGAGATTCAGCAACAGCTTGAGTTTGGCTTAGTGTTCTTCTTAACTTGGAATTTTCTTCTTTCAGCTACGTAAAAGAGGGAAGGATTCAGACACTGAAGGATTTGGGAATTCTGGGAACTGTTCCAAAAGTGGGTGGGCAACAAGGTATGTTCAAGGTATGTTCACCTTTTCGGCTACTTATCATTTCCTGTGTCACAGAACTCTGGTCTTTGGTCCTCTCCTTGCAAGTGGCCAAATCGGTGTGTTTCTCACAAAATACCTAGCAAACCTTAGCTAGCCAACCTCGGCAAACCAATGGCCCTCTCACAGAATGGCCATTTTTGCAGCATAGCTTTGAACAAAATACTGGCATGTTGTTTTTACTTTTTATTCAGACAAAACTGATGGGTCTCCAATCCAGAAAATTGGTACTGGTCAGCCAGTGGACACTTAGGAGATTTAATGTGTTTTCTTTTTGTTTATTTAACTGTTCCGTTATTTTACTTGCTTTGTTTACACTCTTTTCCACTTCATTTTTGTTGTAAGCCACCTAGAGTAGCCCCATGGCGAGATAGGAAGCCAGTAAATTAAATAAAATTACTTATTCAGACTTGTGTTATGGTTAAAGTACTGGTCTGGGCAGACTTAGGTTCAGTTTCAGCTTTAACTCACTGGGTATCTCAGAGGGAATAAAAATGACCTTGGAGGACAGGGGGGAAAGAGCCATGATCAGATAAAAGAAACCCAAGTCTGAGGTAGAACAGTAACTTGAGAAAACACCTCAGACAAGCCCCTCCTTAGTACACAGGGAGATGAAGTGAGGAGGGGAAGCACATTCAGGCCTGCAAAATTCTGTTATTACAGCCATTCTAATAGCAATAGCACTTAAGACTTATATACCGCTTTATAGTGCTTTACTCTAAGCAGTTTAGAGTCATCCAATTGCCCCCACCAAATCTAGGTCCTCATTTTACCCACCTGGGAAGGATGAGTCAACCTTGAGCTGGTCAGATTTGGTCTGCCAAATTGCAGGCAGCCGGCTGAAGTAGCTTGCAGTACTGCGCTCTAGCCACCGCGCCACCGAGGCGGCCAGTAATTTTAGGCCTATATGGCATTGACTTCTTAATCTGGCCTGCCTTATAGGGCTAAGGGTATCTTTCCATTAATCACACCCTGATAGCTCAACCTACTTCATCAAATAGTTGCTGTGGAGGTAAAAATGAAGGGGAGAATACTATATATGTTACCTCAGAGGAAGAAAGGTGGGATATACATGCAGCAAAATTACATTTGCTAGGAATTTAGCTTTCTTGTTTTGGGGAAGCCATGAGGGAGAACATCTTCCCAAGAGAGACATCAACACTCACTTCTTGGTAACGCAGCGGCAACAGTCGGAAGAAACCATCTTCTGGGGACATCTGATCACTAGACGAGCTCTGGTCCCCTTTCCCAAGGCAGCTAAAGGAGACGTGGTCACTTCTTCCCGGCTGCTCTGGGGAGGAGGTCTGGAGGTCCGAGACATTGCAATAGAAAGAGTCTAAAGGGCTGCTGCTGAGCGAGATGCTGGGGGCTCTGACAAAGTGGGCTTCTTCGACGGCTGAGGGCTGATACGAGCCGCTCCAGTCATCCTCGTCATCTTGCAGCAAGGAGTCCAAGGCAGTTGGGTCTGCAAAAAATGGCTCTCGCAAATCCTCCTTCAACCCCAGCGACCCGGCCAAGAAGGAGCTCTCATCCAGCAAGAGGCAGGGCCTCAGTGGTCCCTGCAAGTGAATCAAAACGTTTGTCAGGGCTCCGGCAGTTACCCCAATTAAATCATGAGTCTCGAGCCAAACTTCCAAAACTTCAAAAGGATTTATTGGGAGTTAAAAGGTCCGGCATTGCCTGGGTGTAGCTGACTCTGAGACACATCATTCCTTGTCACCCTTGGTCCTGCTTTTCCCCCCACCCCCGGGTGTATCCTAATTCATATTCTCCAACGGGACACATCCATAGCCCAGAATCAACGATCATACTCTCCAGTTAGAATTTTGCAAGGCAGAAACTTCAGTCACCTAGAAACTATCTTTGAAAACATTTATGGAATGCGCTTTCAGGTTACAAAGCTGCCCCGCTGCTCCCCCCTCCCTTTCTGTTGGCAACTCTAAAAAGAAATATTTTATGAGTTGACAATGTTTGGGATTTTGACCATCTCACGCCTTTCCCACGCTGAGGCCAAAGGACCTTTCTGCACCAAACTGTCTAGCACAGAGTGCTCTGGAGCTGCGCGTGGCTTTTTCATCCCTCTGCTGTGGCTCCATCGCTCAAAATATGTGTCACACCCGCCAATGTGCGACACCCGCCAGCACGCCATTTATTGAGCTTTTGGATGTCTTACAGCCCCGATGTGGAGGCGCTGTGCGTTGAGGTTTAGGAGCAGGCATTTTTAGTTTGCTGCAGGTGGATAATTTAAGTGTTGCTTTTTATTTCATAAATACGAGGACAACGCAAATAGACATTATTTTATTTGAAAGTAACCTTCAAACCAGAGTTTGTTTTTTTCCCAGTGTTCAAAATGGTTTTTTTGCATGCAGAATTAAAAAATGTTTTCTCGGTAGCAGTTTATTGATTTCATAAATGCAATAACTTATAAGTTTTTTTATATATAGCATAAAGGTTAAAAAAAAAACCGATATATGCAGTGTTATCTTCACTGTAGATGTCAAAGGGGTTTTGTGGCTCCTGGTGTTTTCTTTTTTTTTATATATAAATTTTTATTATTTTTTTAACATAAAAAACACAACAACAAAACATAAAAGTATCAGCTCCCCCATATTTTTGTACACACCGTAAGTCGGTTGGTCCATCGGTTTTGTGCATTCACCTCATAGTCACAATTACAATTACTTTATATAATACTCTTATCAATACAAATTTATAAATCCTAGTATCTCTATTAAAGAAAAAAAAAAAAAAAAATTTGACTAAACTTTTATTCGGTCATGCCTTTATGAGATAACTATATTTTAAATATTTTATTCTAAAACAAATCTTATAATCATACCAATTCTATCCCAAATATGAAAAAGAAAGAAACAAAGAAAACTATTATATAAATATAGTATCAAAAACCAATAAAAGGAAAGGGAAAATAAAGTCATTATTATTCCTTATTATCTAACTTTTATATTTTAATATTTCATCATTCAACCATTGATAGAAAAGATCCCAAACTAAATAAAATTGTTTATCTTCTTGCTCTCTAATTTCAAAAGTCAATCTACTCATCTCAGCACATTCCAAAATTTTCTTTACAACTTCTTCTTGCAATGGAATTTTCTCATTTTTCCAATTTTTTGCAAATACAATCCTAGCAGCAGTCAATACATTTACAATCAAATATTTCAACTCTTTACTATAAGTATCTGGTAGTATTCCCAATAGAAAAAACTCCGGTTTCAAGTCTATATGCTTCTTTGTCATTTTTTCCAGCCACATGTGGATTTTAGTCCAATATTTTCTAGCATCCTCACAAGTCCACCACATGTGATAGTATGAACCAGGTTTCTGATGACATTTCCAGCATTTTTCGGATTTGTTCTTAAACATTCTTGCTATCCTTGTCGGGGGAAAATGCCACCTGTAAAACATCTTATACAAGTTTTCTTTATAGGCTGTAGACATTGTCATTTTATAATTTTGCGACCATAATTTCTGCCATTTCTCTAAATCAATCCCATATCCAAAATTCCTCCCCCACG